CACTAGACTTAGCGCACTGTAGTTCCTTTTAGTGAATCCTAGTTCGAGAGCCGCTGCTGAAGTTTTGGGCCGCTTAGCAGGCAGCTCTGAAAATGGCCGTGCAAGTGGTGTTGCACAGCTTGTGCTTTATGAAATAGATAGACATGCGGCTGTCCCCTTTGACGTTTTCTCGAGTAAACCGATGCGTACGCTGCCTGGTTTTCTCTTAGCTAGAATGCCTCCGGCACTGTGTCCCCAGAGTCGTGACGTGAGTGCCAGCGCTGTCCGTAGGAAATGAATGAAAGCAAGCAAGCCGAACATGACTTGTGAGTTTAAGGGGTTAGTATGTGTCAAACTAAGAGGCACAAATGTCGTGACATTATTTTTGACCTAGCAAGAGTTCATCTAGAGCAGATGGGATAGATGGTCTGCTGGCTTTAACTCCAATGGAGTAACCATGATGCCCATCATCATGCTTGTCCCACTCCTCCATCAGTACAAATTCCCCATTTGAGATCGGGATGGCTCCGCATACTAAGCAAGCCACAAGGTATCAATTATTATTTATGTTTCTCTGCTACGGGGGACACCCAATTCCAGCTCAATTAGAGTGGGAAGGTGTGGCCCAGTCAGAGCAAGTTAGTCTTATCTTGTCCCCCTGAAATACTACAACGCACCTTAATTGCCTTTGAGTCAGGCATAAAGACTTATAGAAACTGTATGAGAGATTTGGTCAGGCTGGTGCATGCCATCTTCGTGGATGGGGACTCCAGGATAGTTCACACTAATGGTAAAAGACCACATAGGACATGCCGCAGTCGCGCAGTCAATGGCGTTCCTGTATTCGGTTTCATTCATCGGTTTGTTAATTTTCGTTCCATTCAGTGTAGTGTAATGCATCTACTCGATTCCGTTTCCTTTTTACTCCAGGTGCATTCCATCTCATTTTCTCGCCATCGTTGTTTATTGTTATCCTTGCGATGTGAGTCGTAGCAACTGGATGCCCCTTATTTCTGTTCTCTGATCATGCCAGTTCAACTGAACTGAACTGAACTGCCTTTGAATGGCGTCACGTTTGGCGATGGTTATGGTTTTGACAGGATGCCTGTACTTATCCGATCACGCAACTTGGAGAGTCTGATCATGTTTGTTGCCAAGGTAGCACCTTTTACCTCAAGCAACTGCAGGCAATCTGGCCGCTCTATCGGTTGACACAGTCTTGCATGGAGATTTGTCGGGAAAACTAGCTTACAGTAGGTGGCTATCAGCGACTGAAGACCTGCGATGAGCGAATGTGACCAGAAGCCACAGAGTGAACAGTAGTTTCCTTAGCAATAGTTATGTATAACTACCGTGAAGCTGTTCGCTGGCCAACGCTTTTCTATCGAGGGCACTTACACAGCTGCGACAAGGCTGTACGCTTCAACATGACTAAGGGGTGTACGAAAACGGCCTAGGACAAAACGTTTGTGCTTCGTATGGAGTAATTACGCAAAAATTGCCCACTGAATACGACAAGTTAATCGAATTCGAACGAGTGCATGAGGGGTGCGTTATGTTACTGTAGGGATAGTAAATCCGCAGGAATATTGGTTCCGAACATATGCCATCGGGTGACATGTAGACAGCAGAAGCTTTTAGAGGTAGAATAGAGAATTAAAAACACCTGAGGAAAATGTGTACTTGTCTTTAGGGGATCGATTTAGAACAAGAAGCTTGATCCGAAGCTTTCTAGCTTCAGTTGTTGGCACAGGATCATAACTCGAAATTTCGCATGGGTGCGCTTAATTTCCTTAGGTGACTTCACACTGAGCGGTTGCCTCATATAATTGCCGCAATGTGCCCCCTTTAATCATTTCATTTGTTTTGACCCACAAGACAGTGTGGTATATTATTGTCCGGATGGCGATTCCAGAAGACAACTGGGGTTGCAGGGTAGCCTTTATTTATACAGCAAGAAGTTCCCTTTTCACCTAGCTTTAAGAACGACACCGTTGCACGCTGCTAGGTAGGGGAAGGAAAAATGCACAGCACACAAGGTGACTGCGCGCTGCAACTGAAACGAGCACCAAGTGGCGGTGGTCAACTCAAACAATCGAACTCAACATGCAGTGCAACATTCCGCATCGGTCGCCTAAGTGTACAACGAAATAATAATTTTGTTAGAATTTTCCACAGGCAAACCGGGAATCTTCAGACTGCACAGGTCCGGGCGGGCAACTAGATCCTACAATTTCATCAGGATATGAACAAAGGCACTCCCGCTTGTGCTCTTGGCATGTGTAATGCAGCCTATGCGTGTTATGCGTTTCTGAAAGCAATAAGTAGAACAGCAAGTATAGGTAAAAATAACTATGTAAGTAATAACCCTAAGGCTTTGGCAAGTCCGGAAATGCACAAGAATACTGAATACTGAGAATAGAGAGCGAGAAGAGAAAAATCCGTGTTGCTCCATCGTAAGTGGATCGGGCACATGCGTCTAATCACGTCTCTGATCCCTTTGCGGTGGCAGCATATGCAGCTGCAGTAGGTCTTATCCAGGTGAGATACGCTCCCTATACCTGTACTCCGCAAAGTGGGTGTCAAGCAATGACTTAAATTCTGACACTGATTTCGCCTCGACTATTGTCTCGGCAATTTGTTTCCAATATTCCACCACTCGACGCTCGAAGCATAGATGTTGAGTGATGTGCTTTAACTACGGTACCACTACTTCATACCGGTGTCCGCGTGTGCTGCTTGGCGCGCGGGCGTGGAGCAGTGGCTTCAACATAGGGAAGTGGCTCAGGTACAGTATCCGGTGCGTCATAATGAGATCAACTCGAAGCCGACGACATGACAATATATACAGCCCTAGTCTCCTACATCGTTCCTCGTACGACATACTACATAAACTTGGGATGAGCCGGGTAGCTACATGCTGGACCGTTTCCAGTCTCTGCACCTCGCCTATTGTGGTCGGACAATAGGCCGGTGAGCCCTACTCAAGCACCAATTTTATTATGGAAGAGAACAGACGGGTGGTAATGGATTCAGAACAAGTGTAGAAGCTGCGTCTAAGCGCCAAAACCAGGCCTAGTCCGTTTGCGTATAGTCTGTTCGTGTTGTCGACAGACTTCAAATCACAGCGTGAGAGTACGCCTAGGTCCTTTACGGAACTCGTGGAATGCAGCGGGTGGCCGGCCAGGGAGTACGCACGCCCATTACTACCCCCTGCAGGCTCATAAACGAGGACTTGGCCATGTTGACCGGTAAGTAAACTTTTGCAGACCACAGGGAGAGGCAGTCGAGGCCCTGTTTCTAAATTCTGGGTCTCGTCTGTGTTGCGCCTTCCATCGGACCCCTGCCAGGTTCCGACCCCACGACTTCCGGATGCCAGCAGCTAGTGCCACTTCATCCTGGGGATAGCCACATACCTGCATGATGAACAGTTGACTTTGATATAGCCCGGCTCATCTTCCACTACCATGCCAGTTACGAACTGGGCAGAAGACAACAGTTAGCCCTACGAGCTGGGACTTTCCGCATAGCGCCTATCTACGACGCGACCTAGAAGCTATACCGACAGATCTTATATTACTAATGAGTAGTGAGGATTTCGTCACAAGTCAGAGAGTGGAGCGTGATGACATATCTCTGAAGTATACCGAAACCCTCACTGCTCATTAATTATCCTAAGGCTTGTCTGGTCGAGACCATTGTTAATAAAACACTGGACAAGGTTTGCACTCTTCTAGCATCAGAGAGGGCTTGTGGGGCTTTTCTCTACGCCAGGCGAATTGTGTTGCTTGCCCGTATACTGTTTTTTCCATTATCCCTTTAAAAGAGGGCAAGTAATCTCACCAAAATCGTCGAAGAGTGTTTTGACACCGAGTTCGTCTGATCACTAACCCCTGCTATGGCGGCACATGAACTTAGCTTTGTGCATGCCAACGGACTACGGTAACTTGGAAACCGTCGCGCTATCTCGCAATCCAGCCTTATCACGATGTTGATGCAGCAGAGCTTTGCATCCGTCGGCGCTTTTGCGATAACAGTTGTGTTCTAGGGCAACTGTATCAAAGGTAATCTTGATTGTATCAGTCATGGTGCTGCAAATCAAGAATCAAGACAGAAAAGTAAGCTAGTGCTTAAGTTTGCAGTGCTGATGTGAGTACAAGTGGGCACATATACGGAGTACCTGATGGAACAAGCATGGGCCTCGCTACTTTTGCATTAACACAAAGACTAACAACTAACAGATTCATGTGTGAAAACGATATCTGTTTTTGACTCATGCTGGGGACCGGAAACAGTGGTAGCCTGGATACCTATAAAAATAGATGCGTTGGCAAATAGCTTTCTCAAGGGTGCGACAATTAATAGCCTTATATTGCAACGGACGCCCAAGATATTCGGAAAATATGAAGTAGTGTACTAAAAATTACTAAGTTTGTTCTACAAATCGGATTAAAACGGTGCGTTTTGCCAATATTACCAGTCGTATTTACGCATAATATTTTCTGCACACAGTTGTTGACTAACCGTGTAACAATCCACCTTCTAGACACACGTAAGAATCAAGTCAAATCAATATAAGCTTGATATGCTCCAGAGGGTACCTTTTCAGGATTTCGCAATATCCACGGCGGATGTTTTAAGGTAACATCATTACAAATTTGTACAGGTGGATAAAACGGCATTAGAAGGGTATGTGTCAATCAAACAAACTATCCAGAATCTGCATTCGATCCGGAATAGGATTTCTTAAATTATGAAATTCCTTCTGGTAATTTCGCGATTCGCGCAGTATCGCAAATTCCATTCGCAAAAATCGGCAAGGACAGTTTTAGTGACCTTGTAGCTGTTCTAACAAAAGAAAATGTCGAAAAGCTTAATGACAACGGCTAACTCCGCAGCAGAGTTAGTAAGAACGATGTTTCATTGAAAAGGCCACGGCTGATTTAAAGGCCGCGCCATAACAGCATGAGTACAACACGCATTCGGTGTATGAACTCAATAATTTCACATTTACTTACTTTATGTACTGTGTCTACGACCTTTCTTCTATATCAGGAAGTATAACAATGAAACTGTCCGCAATTCCCCGGTACGCGAAAACTTCAAAAAGTTGTGGTCTGCATCAGCTGGAACCAGACTGTCCGAAGTTTTCAATCTTCAAAAACAGAAACGTTCGCGGCTGGTGGCCATGCGCCGATGAGATTTATGAACAGGTTGAACTGCAGGTACAGTACATAAACTTCACGAACGCTCTCACGTATCTGCGTAATTTTGAGACCAACAGATGGATGCGACTTAACAGTTTGATTTAGTCCCAGACGAGTGTATTTTTCTCTATTTGGTGTGGCCACACACAAGGATTACGCGATGTCAGTGCGCACGCACGTAAGACTGTTTCGAGGACGCCAGCTTTGTTAGCGTTGTATACTGCATGCTTTTACGTTTGACTCGCTTTTGATAGTTACCTAAAGTGTAAATTGCTAAATGGTACTCCGAAAGCAAAATTGGCGTGCGGTATGGTGACGCCAGTTGGGAAATAAGGAGTGGAGCAATGTGAAATGTGTGCATCGTAATTCAAAACATCATTTTCTTCGATTGTAATCATTACTATGTTCATTGTGTGTGCGACTGAATCAGTAGGTGACATCCTCAGCACAGCTTACCTTTGAGTCGGTTCTGTATGTGCATGTACTTATGTAGACAGCAGCTCAAATGCAGCGGCAGACATGTGTGTGTTCTGGTTGGCGATATTTATTACAATGACATATGATGTTCGTCACATAAATGCGCGTACATTGGAAATAACTCCGATTTGCTTCTTATCCAGACAGAGTCCTTGTACTCATGTGGTGGGATGAATTAGAGTGTGCACATCACTGGTGTAATGAATTCGTCTATTCCAAACTTGCAAGACCTATAACTGGATAAAATATCTACTTGCCGTAATCATTCTATCAGCAAAATCTCACGCCGCTTTGACAGCCGTAAGATTATCTAAAAAGTAGACCCTGCATCACAGACAACCGTGACAGTATTCACGTGCGCTAATTTTCCCTAGCATCTATTCCACTCACGGATTAAATGATGTTCGATTTGAACCATCTCCTACGGGATTTTGCATAATGGCTGTATTTCGTTGGTGTTCATATTCGGCACAAAATTCCACGTAAGATTTATCGTCATCTTACCGTGCTAACTATGTGATTCACTGAATAAGACCGCAAATTTACACGGACAATTGGGTAAAATGCAAGGGACAACTTTGTTCGCACAAATAAATATTGGTTGAGGACCCTATCAGGCAAATACGGAGACAGATGTCGCCAACCTTAGGGACTCTGAGGGGAAAGCAAGCCATAGCGCCGTGAATCCCACGATTAGCATAAACATAGATAGTTCCAATTGTAGCCCTGTTCTCCAAATTTTTCCCAATTTCAGGGCATGTAGCTTGGGTGTCTCACATAAGTAGCAGTTTCACATATCCGACTACAGAACAGCGGTTGTGACAAAGTGGCGGATGTGCAACGTGGCTGTATTTAGTCCTGCGGTGATGTCCATCCATAGTTCAACAGTGGCTTTGTAGATTTGGCTTTGTGTCCAACGCTTGCAACTCATATCACTACCTAATCAACTCTCGGTTAAGACGTTTCTCCACCGCGATTCTTGCCACATGCGAAGGCGCACATAGCTGTCCACACAGGGAGCGTGATGTCATTTGAGTGACGTCATGTTACCTCAAACGACGTCTTTGGATGGTACTAGACGTGACTTTTCTCCAGAATTACCAAAATCGATGGGCGCTTGCGCTGGTGTAGCTATTCCTGTATTTCGACCACAACTGCAAAGATAAATTATACAACCGTATCCATAAGTCCTATGGATGTGTAGGGTTGTTTTTCAGATATAACCTTCCAACCTCTTTCGATAGCTACGAAGGTAGGCCCCTTTCAAACTGGCAAACATGCCGCTTAGTCTGCGCGGATATGGGATTTGTGATGACCTTCATAAATGAATGATGCAATCTGTCTCATTGTTCTTAATGCATGGACTCGTGGACAGAACACTCATGTGTCTGAGTCTTGATTTGTTACTTCGTTGGTTCCAGCGGTTGTCGGTAGAACTCTTCCACAATTTTATTGTACCTTAAGCCCACTTTCCTTCACACAATGCATAACCTTCCGCGAACAATGAACGAAGAGTTAGAACGGCTAACGAAGGGGATCTTTAACAAGTCCGATGAGTTTACGGGAGTGAGTATTATGAAGCCGAAAGTAAAGGTAACGAGACAAAAGGAAGAAAATTATTCGTGCTTGAGATGACCCACCAGACGATTCATGTAAATGTAGATGCAGGATTCCCTAGTGTTACAGAGAGCGCTGGTGAACACAATGTTTGGTTCGTGTTATTCAATCTTTCGACTGCAACGGACCAAGTCAACTAATTGAAAGCAGATACCGTTTCAGCAAGTTATTCTTTGAAGGACAACAGTAGCATCATCATCATCCACGTTAGCCAGAGGTGGGAAACACCTCAGCTACTGTGCCGCAATACATAGAAAAAAGGAGAAAAATTGCAACTGGTGCAAGCCGGCTAAGCTACCGGTAACGGATGGGCATCCTTCCGGTAAGCTACCAGCCGGCTACTATACATCAAAAAAATTACTATGTGAAATTATATAAGGTTAAACAATGAGATCGTGGTTGGAGGGGGAGGCTAAGAGGGATGGGGCAAGACAAAGAAACTCACAGCACGAACGCCACTGACGTCGACTCCTTGCTATATCAGCAAGTGTGTCCAACCAAACGTGTTCATCGTCTTTCGGACCCCAACCAGGGAGCCGACACGCTTCAACCGAGGCCAGCTCAGAAGTGAAGGCATTCATTGCTCTCAACCAAGTCATTGCTTGGCCACCCCTCCTCTTCTTCCATCCACACTCCCCGGCCCGCAAACAACGCACGTCGCGGGAGTCGGTGGGCTGGCATGCGTAATACGTGGCCCAGCCATCGGAGCCTGGTGCGTGAAATAACGGTGCTGAGCGGCTCATTTCCTTTTCCTGTGTCATAAACAAGGCGTCGAACACGCTCGTTACTCACGCGGTGTTCCCACCATATGAGAGCTAAATTGTGAAGGCACCGGTGGCCGAACGTTACTAGCCTCTTCAGGTCCGCTGCTTTAAGGGGCCAGGTTTCACAGCCGTACAGTGGGGTCGAAAGTACCGCTACATTGCACACTCTACCCTTCACGGCAAGAGTGATGTCGCGCCGGCGCCATAAGTGGCGAAGGTTAGCAAAAGCGCCCCGAGCTTTTGCTATACGGTTCGTGATCTCATCTTCAATCCCACGGGCGCTGATACAACTTCCCAGGTAGTTGAATTTTTGAACGACTTCTAGCTGATCCCCACCAAAGCTCAGCGTAGGAGGCTGTCCAGGCCAATCCTGGAGGAACGCTTTGCACTTCGAGGGTGCGAAGCAAAGCCCGAAGTGATGGACAGCTAGTGCTAATCTGTCCAGTGCCGCTTGGCACGTTTGTGAGCTGTCACAGATTAGGGCAATCTCATCAGCATACTCAAGTCAAGAAGTCGTTCTCCTGGGAGCAGATCCACACCTTCTAAATCGTGTCCTGTGAACGCGATTTCCGTGACTTCGTCAACAGCGAAGTTGAAGAGGAAAGGTGACAGCGGACATCCTTGTCTCACACCGCTGGAGATATTAAAGGGCGACGACAACTTGCCGTAAGCCCTCACTCTGCCCGAGCTACGCGCATATAATGCTCGGATAATATTTACAGATTTCTCAGGTACACCTTTCCTGAGTAGACAGTCCCAAAGTGCACATCTATCCACCGAATCGAATGCGCCTTTGATATCGAGGAACACGACAACGGTGGGCCGCCAATATGTGTGACGGTGCTCCAACAACTGACGCAAGGTGAAGATGTGGTCAATGCAGCCACGACCTCGACGAAATCCGGCTTGCTCTTCACGAATCTGGCTTTCATGAGTGCCAGTCAGTCTGTGAAGGATGACAGAGGCAAGCAATTTGGAGGCGATGGAGATCAGACTGATTCCTCTATGGCTGCCGCATTCCGATCGTGAGCCTCCCTTGAAAATTGGGACTATGACGGAGCGGCTCCAGTCGGTTGGGACAGTCTCCTGCTCCCACAGTTTCACTAGTAACTCGTGTAAATCATCCACAAGAGCAGGTCCCCCGAATTTGAAGAGGGCTGGAGAAAGGTCATCAGGTCCCGCGACTTTGTTTAACTTCAGCCGTTCGATCTCACGTTCGACTTCTGAGCGAGAGAGTGGATCCAAAGGGAGAGCCCGCGGAGCGGGGCGATCAGTGGCCCTCGAGAAATCTAACAATTCCGACCGATTAAATTGCCTTTCAAAGCGCTTAGCTCAACTGTCCAAGCGTTTTGACAAGTTGTGGATAGGCTGTCCCCTCTCGTCACATATTTTTCACTGACACCAGGTCTTCTGCTGCCCGATTCCCGTATTAGTCAGAATAACTTACGATGGTTACCAAGCGCAGCGGCCATTTCCATCTCTGACGCACTTTGAGACCACCAGGATCCGCGGTCTCTCTCTTCAGGCTAGCACGGAGTTTTGCCCGGAGCACTTTGCGAGTTTCATTGTGTTTACTTCCAGCCGGGATATGCCGGCGAGCATCTATAAGTTCCAGAGACTGTGAAGTGACCCAATGTTCATGTTGGCGATTAGACATACCACACGAGAATTTTCCTGCTGCTAGTAAGGACCGGTGAATATGAGACCAGGGAGCTTCAGTTGCATCCAGTGAGCGTGTATCCAACTCGTATGACGGCGTACTTTGATACGCATTCAGAACAGCTGGCTTCGCCAGCTGGCTGGTGTCAATGCGGTCATAACGTCTTCGTGGGCGTCCGCCAAAGCGCATCCGCAGGTCAGCACATACAAGTGCATGATCGGTGTCTACACATGTGCTCCAAATCGAGCGACAGTTCTGGACGCAGCGTCTCCAGCGGTAACTGATAGCAATGTGATCGATTTGCGTCCAAGACTGGTTCGAGGCTGGTGGGCGCTAAGTCACCCTCCGGCGGGTGCTGTGTCTGAAATTAGTGCTCGCAAGAAATAAGCGAGCATCCTCACACAAATGAAGTAATCGCTCACCGTTATCATTACGGGAGCCTACACCATGTTGGCCGCCCAGATGCGGTTCATCAGCAGACAACTTGAGCGTTCAGATCCCCAGCCAGCACTACAGTGTTTCATCGTTATTTTTTTGAAAGACAACAGTATAGGGTCAGATGTGATGTGTGACTGAAGAGTGTTCCATGTTCGAGCTACTCGAAGGGAGAAAGAATTTTGTCGGCGCTCAAATCGACTCTAGGACATGACCAATTTGATCTGAAACCTTCTCAGTTTAATATCATAGCTGAGCTGCAACCGATCGCAGCATGTATGTTTGGAGTGCTCGGGTACTGGGTACACCGCGATGCAACCCCATCGAAGTTGCCTATACTTTCATTTGTAAAGTCCAAGACCTTTCCGTTTGCATTTGTAAGGGAGGTGAACCGAGTCCATAACATCTTTGGTAGCCCTACTTTGTGGAGCTTCAACCATGTCAACATCTTTCCGCCAGAGGCGCTAGACTTGGAGGACATATATTCCATAATGGCTCACGTAGATGTTTAGTATTCGTGGATTAATAGAACGCTCGTAATTTCCGAACCTCCTTCATACAATAGAATAGGGCCAACTGGATCTCCTGCAGACTTTTTGGCCTGTTTCTAGCATCCAAAGTCATCCTGTACAATTATTTTGGATCTCTTTCCTGAAAAGCGTGCTGCAGCAGTTGTTTCGCAACTGGATATTCATGTCTACGCTGATGGTGCATGAGCAACCCTTTACACTTGGCCACATCGGACTGGATCAGGTTCTGGGATGGTCACGTATAGACACTGTCGAGCTTGCTCTATAGTGCTGTGTGACCGTCCACTGTAGTAATGTCATACCAGACCTTGCGATCTGCAAATAGTAGAAACTCAGACTGCCGTCCGTTTAAAAAAACTAGGAATGGATGTGGTTCCAATACCGATCAATAGAGTACAGGCTGTAAAATGCTTTTTGGGACGTCCAGGTAGAAGACCTCAGTTGCTACTCTAAGATAGACAGGTTCCGTCAAGACTGCTGCGGCTAACAGTGAGGTTGTATTGCATGAATAATTTCGGCAGAATCCATGTTACTGCGACACTACGGTGTGGTTACTCTCAGTGTCCCATGAGTACTTCTGTAGTGAAGTCTTCCATAAGCCTCGATAGCACCTGGCGTATAGTTGTTGGACATTAGTTCGAGGACTGCACGTGCTTCCCACCCTTTTACATGGGAGTGACTATTGCATATTTCCACGTAGTAATGACCTGCATTTTATCACGTCATCGTTGCAGAAACCGAGTAAACTGTTCCGCGGTGTTCATGGCAAATGGATTTAGTACCCACAGGTGAATGTCATCCATCCATAGAGAACGGTACGGATGAGAAAATAACAATATTTTCAACACATTCGCTGCAGAGTAAGATACAGGGTTTAACCATGAGAGCGGTGTGATTTGTACCAGCTGCTGATATCAATGCTCGTTGGAAAATACGGACAAGCCTTTGCGGAAGCGCTTTGACTGCCTCTTGTATGGCATTCGACAGCCCAACATGTAGAACAAGGATTCCGTGCTGCACTCTGCAACTTACTGAAGTGTCTATGGAGCATCTTAAGGTTAGCATTCAATCTCAATGCCAAATCCTGCTGATGCTTGAGTTTGTCTTTGGGTACTAATTTGGCGCAATGGTTTCGTTGGATTATGTAAACTTATCAGGGAGTCTTTGTAAGCGGACCAAGCTGAACCTGGAAGCCATATATTTTCAAGTTCTGCTGCGCCCCAGGAAGGACTTCAATTGTTTTAGACTCAAGATTTTGGCTTCTGACGTATGTGCCGCCAGCCGGTCGAACTAAGTGACAATCTCATCAGGCGACATCTGAGGCTGCTTGGCCACGCAATACCAGTTAGTTCTTGGAACGAAGTCAGACAGGATGTAATGTATGACGAAGTAGTTTACCTCCGTGTTTTCCCCTACGTATTTCACATTGCAGGAGTAATGAAGAAACAGCGTCGCATGATCATGCTATCGACCATTAATTCCTCGCTATTGAGCACAAGGTAATAAATAGATAGTTCGTCACCCGTTCTGAATAACATGGGAATGGTGACAGGATTGATTGCTTTTGGCAAGTCCTCCTTGAATTGCTAGTTAAGATGAGCAGGAACTTTGGTGGCGCAAAGGTGGAAGATTATCATCGAGAAGACGTGACTGTGTGGCCGCGTCATGACTCGCTTCACAGCTGAAGCTAAGTGGTGATCCATTTCCAAGTTGGGCATTGGAGATCCGTACACTACTGCCAGTAAACACACACCACCACGCCTCATGAGCCGGTAACACTAAATAGAATTGAGAAATTACATTTTTGTGCCATCTATAACATCGGCATTCAAACTGGGGCAGTGATACAAGATCATCCTTCCTCTACTGCTTAGTCGCCCGTGTCGAAGATGAGATATTCTTGGCGGAGACCAATCTCAGCAATTTCAGTATTCGACCCTGTTTCTTTTACTATAATGAGATCTAAAATCGCCGAAAGTTGACGTGCGTGTTCGTTTCATTCCATAGATGACTCTATCACCCTGACAAAAGCTATCCACCCAAGTGACTGGTGGGATCTCATGCTTAGTTTCATCTTCATGTTTCAGCTATAATGTTTCACTGAATGTGGCGATCGAATGCTCATGTTAAGTAAGAAGTGTTTTGGCATCGGTCCATGCATTATCATGAATGTCGCATCCACCTCAGTCGTTTACCAGTTTCGGAAATACCGACTGATTGATGTGCGGCAAACTGATAGTAAATAGTAGGGGGTTTATTGGCTGTTAGTGAGGCTTCGTCGCAATTAGACTCCGGAAGACAGCCACCATATATCCAGGAAAGTACTAGACGGCCGTTTTGTCTTATTGCGACTCGGCAGTAGCGCGCACCCGCCGAATACTGCTGAAGGAAAGGACCATGTGGTTCTTTCCTGGATGTGTGGTGGCTGTCTGTCTGAGTTTAACCGCGACGAAGCTTCAGAGAAACCTGAGATATCTCCGTACTATTTACAAATAATCGATAGTCGTCCTAGCAACTTACATGCCATCCCGACTGGTGGCGGCTCGCAATGGATGTCGTTTCTCTAGGGGCCAGCGCTGTCATCCTCACGTTCATAGCATGCATGCCAGTGGAGGATGAGCCGCGATATATCGCATTTAGATATCAACCATGTTGGTCCGCTGCCGTCACCCATGACTCAGTGACATAAGTCGCTGACTCGAAAGAGTAAGGTCGTGGGTTCGAATTCGACAGGATTCAATGGGTGCGCGCTGCTGACGAGCTCCAGTAGGAGGAAACGGCCGTCTAGCGCTTTGTTGAATGTGTGGTGGCTTTTTGCCTGAGTCTAACTTTGACGAATCTTCACAGAAATAATAGTACTGCGCACTGGGTATTGATCACTTGGTCGGGCTATCAACAGCATGCTCACACTGAGGCATCCGAGGTTGTTTGATAGTGGCCGAATCTTGGACCGACGTTTCTTGCTGCCTACATAGATGGTGTATTGCACCAATTACTAAGCTGCTTACGGATTAAAGCTTGACACTGAGGCAATTTCCAGCACAGTTGGTGACATCTTCAGGTACCGAACATGAGACACGAATGTGCGTGCTGACTCGTCACAGCTTTGTCCCTTACTTGTCATCAACAATTTGCTACCATAAAAGTGATTGTGTTTATCTGTGTTGACGTCAATCACCTAGCGACGGGTATTTTTCATTCATTACCTGAAACCCACAGTTCGACGCTATGATAACTTACTCTGTGCCTGAGACTGCGTGCCCATAAGTGGATGACCATGAATTCGCTCGTTTAAAGGCGGTCATGTGTATTAACTCATCGTGCATGTGGATGTTGTGTTGGTGGTGTGTACGGCTTCATGTTCAGTGTAATACCAGTTTATCGTAGTCTTTTAACCAGAGCTTCCTACTTTGTCAACCAGGTTTCTTTGGTCTCACACCAAATTTAAGATCTTCCGAGATACTGCGAATCATTTGCAGTACTCGTTTTGATTACGGACAGTTTAATCGCTAATTTCACTTGTTTATGTATAGGGGAAAGTGGAGTGTGAGCTTAGTCTCCTCACGGCAGTGGATGCAGAAAACTCCCCTGCGGGGCCGGCAAGAGAAGAACCTTGTGCTTTGCCAAAGCCAAAGTAAGTCCTTAGAACAGTAAGATATGTTCCGCTGAAACAACTGAAGTAATAACTTTCCCAGTTTGCTGTAGATAATGGGAGCTCTTGACGGGGCGCTTGACTGTGCCTCCCTGCTAAGCCTGAATATGCATTATTAATGAACTGGACTGTTTAACCATAATGTCTGTAGTTAAGTAATAAAAGATCTTGCTCATAGATAGTTTGAAGGTCTTAGTTATGAGCCATGAAATAACTAGGATAAACATATTCGAATATTAGGACAGACTTATGACCGTCATACATAGTGTACTCCGTATTGTACACTACTGATCGCGTTCTATAAGGTCGCGTTATCGTCAGGCTTTTGTAATTCCTTATTAGACCACTGGAATAGAAAACAGAGATCGGAAAGCAACGTGAACAATGGACGATCAGTTGGTTCGGTGTTGCTCCGCCTAACTTTTACACCCCATAACCGGTTTGGTCCTTCTTTGGACTCATCAGATGGAGATAGCCTGAGCTGGGGTGGATCTCAAGGTCTGGTTTTAAAGGCTGACGCCTTGACCACTATGGCTCTAAGACCCGCGTGCAACGCTTGGCATAGCGGTAAAGAATTCCAAGTGGCATTTGGTGTACCCACCACCACCCCAGCTCAGGTTATCTCCATATGATGAGTTCAAAGAAGGACGGAACCGATTATGGGGTGTCAGGGTTGGGCCGAGAAACATCGAACCACCAATCCCGATACGGTCTTCATGATCGTAATGACCGAGATCTACTTCAAGGAGGACCGAGGTCTGAATAGAGATTACGAGTCGCAATCCAGCCACACATAGGGTACACCAAATGCCACTTGCAATAGACGATTATTTCAACCAAATCGTTGCAGTTTCGCTTACATCTGATTTCGCTTTACGTGATGAATGTGCGGAGGTAACAGAGAAGTCTGGTTGTTTCTTCTTAATCGTATTCCATAGCATCAGAATTAATCGCAATATTTTCGTACTTTGCGGACAAGATACAGCATGTTATTAGTGTTTGAAGTTTCATCTACTCTTTTGTGTTCTTTACAGCCGTCCAGACAGCTCCTTTCAGAGGATATTGGGTCCACTGAATACAATCCGGTACTTTATCAAATACAAACTCAAATGGGTGTTGATAAAGATTCTTGTTATCTTCCTCGTTTTACTGATCGTGTTTTTATTTCTTTATAGCTTCCCTGGTGCACTTGTTAATCGCTTTGTTGGTGCGTGATTTCCGTTGTGATATGTTATGAATTGGCCCGCCTAGTGATATCCCCCAACCCAAGTCAATGGAGTGGTGTCACCCCATGACCTTTATGTACCAGAACAATTGTGAGAAAATACACGATTTTTTTCCGAAATATCAGCAAATGTTTTTATTTTTATTTCTCATTCAGTATTTATACATACAGACGCTATAAGCTCAGTGGGTGAAGCGTTAGATCCCTCCGTGATGGGGATCAGCATGGTGATGTCTTTAGTCATCTACTATAACCTGAAGAATTTCAGGTTGGTCGAGTAGGCACTATATATTGGTACCCACATTCTGCAACAAATAGTGATTAGCAATGAATTGTTCCACCATGAATGAATGTTTAGATCTTACTGATACATAGGCTGAAAGTGCCTGCAATCGGTAGTCCGAGTGATGGAGGATGCATGAGTGCTTGCTAATTATTTGGAACTTGGTACTCATTCTCATGTTGTAAAAAAGCACTAAGTTAATGTTTGATTGTTTTCACCAGCATGAACGTATCTTGCTGTTCAGCATGCGAGGTGCTGCTTGCCCACTCGTAACAGTATACTTTCGAACAGCTCATATTTCCGATCTTTTAACTGTAGGAAGCCGGTGGTACGAAGCGATGCCTAGATGTATCAGTGCAATTGACCTTACCAACAATTCGATGCCAGGCTTCGCAGCGCTCACTTGGTAAGCAAGCATAAATATTTTTGGATTCTGGGCTTTATGTGCCAAGTGTTTGGATCGGGACATCAACTTACACAGCTATCATTTCAGTCCCTCCAGTTAAATGCTGCATTTTGGAATGCCTGCTTTTGTCTTGGATTCCGACACACAGTCCCAATTTTGGCTTCGGTTGACTTTGAAGTCAGACTCTGCCAATACGTTCATCGGGGCCGTATCCGACAAGCAACTTCTAACCGCTGTCTTAAGCGCTGCTCTCGGAGCTGAATCGCCTAGTGATCATGGTGATAACCCCCAACCACTCTGTGCCGAGTTCTACCCCTAGCTCAGGCTACCTCTAAGTGATGAGTTCAAACAAGGACGAAACGCGCCATGGAGTGCAGGATCGGGAGAAAGCAACACTAAATCCCTCAAGTTAGTTCTAATCTAGGAACATCGTTGACTTTGCTGGCTTGCCCGCAGCGCCACAGTCCACATTGATTCTTGATCATACTTTTACTCTTCATTAATAGCTAGCCGTCGTAGGGTTGAAGCCTAACTGACGTGTGTCTTAATTGTCAACCAATTTCTGTAACTAAAAGTTCTAAAATCTGTTTTACTATTCATCAATGCGTTCAGGTATAGTTGTTGGGTTCTTGGGTTTCGATATGCAATCTCTCTTTGGCAGCGAAGTTGGTTGAAGCGCTATTCTGTTGTTGACGGTAAGAAACCCATGTTTGATGTGGACCCATTTTCATTGCCAATAGCTGTCATCCAACACGCGCTCGTCTAAAAATTGTTACCTGCCTGGGTCTCCCAGCCGCGTTAAAACAAAGAAGACACACCGGATCAGCACACAAGCATCCTATCCTAGTTTCTGCCATTCCGGTACAAGCAGCTGTGTCTTACAAGCGCACTTGCTCATCTGATCGCTAGCTTGATCGAACGCACTGATTCGGACACACGACTTCGCCGGGATAGCGTGGGGCTGTCGATTTGTCCAACGATTACACTCGATTACAAACTACCACCACAAAATGAGTGTACTTTATCATGATTCCAGTTGGGTCTACTTCTGGTTATGGATTTTTACCCTCTCGCTACGGAAGACCAGCATTGTATGTGGAATATCAACAATGAATGTCATAAAAATATAGATATTAAGAAATGCTATTCAAATCGAAGCCAGAATTTATTTGATGAAAAACGTTGATAGAGTGGTCAATAACAAAAGCCAAAGTTGCGTGTTCAGAAGACCAACGGACGAGTGAAGAAGTTTTTAACTACGATAAAAGGCTGTCAACTATAAACGAACACTGATGATAGACATACTACGGTAAACATCACGAGAACTCGAAATATGAGGCCTGATCATCGAGAGAGCAAAAGTGTGCGTTGCGTGTACATCACAGGCTATAAAGAAACTATCACTTCAGATAACAATAAAAGTTTGACCATTTGATTTAACAGTGTGGAACCACAATTGCTATTCAAGTCTGCTTTTCCTGGTTCTGTCAAAATGGATGGAAACAGAGAGGATCTTCCTATTTCACTCTATACAAACAACGCCTTCCCGGAGAACATATCGTCACCGGAGGCAGCGAAATAAGGAACTCAAGTTGGTGGTTGCTAAAGGGCTGGCACAGCCCTGCCAAACTCACCGGAGTTCACCGGCGCCAGTATGCTATTGGGCCTGAACAACCCGGTCGCTCTGCAGTGACCCAAGGTAAGCAGTTCAGAGCAGAGCTCACCCTACGGAAACCGCCACCAACGGCTCACTCATATGCACAGAGCACGACGGAGTTGTCCTCAGTGAGGATACCGTCAACATATCTCGCATAGTTTCCACTGAATGTGGACGCTTTCAACTTGGTTCGCTGACCAAGGCTCAGTTCAAGTATTTCATCTTCGTCGCTGGTCTACAGTCTCCCAAGGATGCCGACGGATGGACGCGCGTCTTGGCCAAAGTGCAACACGACAGCACGGTCACACTCCAGAAGTTGGCCGACGAGTTACAGGTGCCGGTCGACCTGAAGCACGAAGCCGCGATGATCCAGAACTCTTCTGCAGCTGGTATGGTCTATGCAGTCACATCACCCAAGCCGCAGTCTGGCGCGCGGTCTAATCGTCTCAACCGAGGGAAGCTCATCGGTGGTGCTTGACACTTCCACCCAGACTGCAGCCTCCGCCAGCACCAATGTCAACCCTGGGCCGGGTGGGGCACCGAGATGACTAGTACAGTCCTACGGCAACCAACGGGATCAAAGATGGCCTGACATAAAATTCCCAGACTAAAGAAGAGGTACCGAACCGGACCCAAAAGCAGAGACAATACGGTAGGCAACCATGTTCTTGCTAGCAATATTCCAAGTCGATGTCGCCGATCGCAGAAAGCTCGTAGATGCCACGACCAACGGTCAACCGGTTTGATTTCAGTTGGACGCTGTTTCTGATATCACAATGATCTCGGAGGATCTCTGGCTATCCTTTGACAAGCCACCTTTCCAGGCAACCTTACAAACCGCCACTACTGCCTGCGGTGGTCGAGTGTAGATGCACTGCTATGTATCATTTCGGGTACCACAACCGATGCTGCTTGCTACATCACGAGACCGAAACTCAACCTACTTGGTCTCGATTGGTTCGAGCATCCGGGCTTGGACAATCTACCTTTTCGGGTCATTTGCAGCGCAGCACAATCATCGGCAAAACAGACGGACAAAACCGGCGACATCAACCGACAATTTACCCCAGTGTTACGATTCACACTCGAAGCTCAGCAGGTGTTCCGTCAGCAAAATCCTATTCCGTACGCAGCCCAACCCATGGTCGAAGCGGAACTAAAGCGATTGGAGCCGCCAATACAAACGGCTGTTTCTAGCAGTCGCAATTATTCGCTGTTGGAGAACCCATCTATGCACGCGACTACCAAGGTGGGCACCCAACTTGGACCGACGCAACAGTGACGGCCAACTGACAGTATGGTAAATGCTGTCGCTGTGTCTGGTGACACATGAGTCCGCCAACGCAATCAACTCTGACCACAGCGTGTTATGGTTAATACAGAGGGCCAGTTGCCCACACACTTGCCACTACACATACTGGACACCTTGGAGATCACGGAGGAGGAACCGGTACCGGAAAGGGCTACCCAACCGATTCGGAGACCCGCCTGTCCCCACCGTCAGACAGGAAGTGTCGGACGAGGGCCAAAAGCATTGCATGTAGATCCTCGTCACATAACGTACCGTGTATCTTCAAGGGGAAGTGTCACAGGGATGGCACAGCCCTTCCAAACTCACCGGAGTTCACCAGCGCCAGTATTCTGTCGAGCCCGAAAAACACGGTCGCTATGTAGAGACCCAAACTAGGCAGTTCAGAGCGGAAATCTCCCTACGGGAACTACCACTAACGACCCACTTATCTGCGCAGATCACAACGGAATTGTTCTTAGTGGGAACGCGACCAACATATCCAGTACAGTTTTCACTGAACTCCCCTAGTCTCCTTACCGTATCTCCCGGACCCTTCTCAAGTCAACAGTCTGCCTCCTGAGCTGTGTTATTACCGATGCTTTAGCCACCGAGCACACCCGGCAACCGTGATTTGCCGAACGGCACAACAGCATCGAACCCACCGCATCTCTGTCCGGAGATAGGACAACTACATGGCAACTCATGTACCAAAACATCATACGTTGTAAGTGTCAAAACGCTTAGGAACCTTGAGCAGAACGTAGTCTTCGGTTGTCCCAGTTCAATAGGGGCCGAAACAGACTGTAGATCACTGGTACGTATTCACAAAGCGGAACTGACCCAAGCTTCGCGGGATAAGTCAGAACTCAAGTCCGGATTGGCTACGGTGCTATTACGACACAATAAATATCAAAAGAAGACAAACCTCAAACGGTGTCCTCAAGCAGAAGAAATGCAGAGAAATTACTGGGCGAAGCCACAAAGGACCGTTTCCAAGCAAGACAAGCCACATGTATGTATGTATGTATTCTCAACAGTCTATTAACTAGACACAGAGCCACAAACTGAGTGACTAAGCGCATACCACATAGGTTAGGTGGTCAGAAGTCCGCCTGGGGGCAGCAATGATTGGAGAAGCACGAAATGTACCAATAGCACAGTTGAGATGATCGATTGCATGTGATAAGATAGACGGGTTTGGGACACAGCTGAGTGGCTGTTACGCGTGGGTAGATCGTTGAGTCCCTCGCCGTGTCTGCCATAGAATTAGTTGGGAAAACACACAGTGGGTAAGACAGCATGGGCGCAGCAAGCTTGTGCAACAAATGAGCGAGGTAAGATGGGTAAACTCGTGTGGTTACTCAATGTTCATGATGTGGATAAGAGACAAAGTAACTGGGATGTTATCACGCAAAGTGAAATAAGGAATCAAAGCGTAGAGTTTGATCGTGTTGGGGGATCAATAGCGGGGAAGTCTTTAGGTAGACT